TATACGCCCAAAATTTCCCGTGAGGGAAATGGAAAAGGCTCAGAAATTTAAAGCATCTCGCCTGAACTGCCCGTACAAGGTGGTTAACTAACAAGTAATTTGTTTCCAGTTCAAAAAAAAAAATGAGAAATGAACCCATTTAGCGCGTGCTGCAATATCACGTACTGCAGAGAGACCTTCGGCAGGAAGCTGCGTTAGGCGAGTATAAAAGAAAGAGCTGAAGATGAATATGGAAGAACGCCTGAAACACAAGACACTCCAAACTTTTATATTTTGCAAAATTTACGTTAATGTCGCCAAAGAGTGACAATTCTTAGCCAAAGAGTGACAATTCTAACATATTTTGTAAGAACTTCAGATACTCTCAGTAACCACAGGCGTTACCTTTGTGTGAATTAGTGCAGTAAACCTTCTTTTTTTCCAGCCAAAGCATGCCCTCCAAATATGACCAGCCTCGCTGAGAAGCTTAATCTTTGGAATATTGTACTTGACTAAATGCTAATGAAGCCGTTCCCCTGAATTCTCCAATCTCAACCAATCCTAACCGTATCAGTCAAATTTTGCAGTGATTCGCCAATTATCCACTCCACTAATTTCGCTGTAATTAATTCTTCATCCGTGGAAAAATACTGGTTTTCAGTCAGGTTTTTTACCGAAATCTGCATTGCTCTTTCAAATCGACATCACTACAGACCAGATATATCCTCTACTTACCTTTGGCAGTGCAGAATTAGGATATTATTGCAAAAGAAACGGGGATTAATTTTTAAACCATTCTATTGCAAGGCTTAATTTGGATAAGTCTATTCAGGAAATGCAAAAAAGAGAAACAGAAATACCTCTCGGGAGGTACCAGTGTCAAATGTATATATTTTAAATAGAAGTCGATAATGGAATCATTTAGCATAACACTCGGTCTCAGATATTCCACGTCAGCATACGAGATTGGTATGGAATTGGGCTGATCACGCGGATAACTCAAAAGCACTTCCTCCAGTCGCCGCTGGCTTTTGGCCGGAGTTGATGGCTGCAACAAACTGCTGACAGCGCTTGCCACAAAAAGCTCAATTTGTTACTGGCAATGCGTTAGCAAAATGCAGCCAAAGTAAAACGCAGCAATGCTTAAGCAGCCCGCCAACATCGATGATGATGACGAATAACTGTCTCACCGCTCCAGTATTCATATAGTTACGCAAAAATTTCAAAACCTTTACCGCTCACTTCAATCAACTAGGAGTTCCCACAAAAATGAAACAATAAGAAACGAGACACCCGTGCCCTCCAAATGATCCAAGCACAGTTTCATTGAGGTAATCGACGAGGACAGCCGTGGAAATTATTCCAGATTTTTTTACTAATTAACGACCGAGTGGGAGGATAAGGGAAACTACTGTAAATACCACCTCCAGATGTGGGGCACAAAAAATATCAAGACGCACATTATTGACAATACTGGGATGCTCCCATACTTTTGGTGCAGCTCTGCCAGGCTCCGTGATCCTATTTTGCACACCTCCTGTTAGTACCTGTCGCGAGCCGCTCGCTCGTCATGTGTTCCGGGTGGAGAATTTTAATATAAACGGCATATATGGCTCCCGGAACATCAAAGACAGCAACGTGTTTCCCGAATCATTAACCGATACAAATCATCCGCAAACCAGTTTCCATACTATAAAACCTTTTACAGCTTCAAATCAGTCTCGACGCCCTGAGAATGTAACTTCGCTGACCAATTTACCAGTCTACAAACCAATTTCCACAGCATTAGGCCCAGTAATAGTATTTTGCAATGTGTACTCGGCTGCATAATTTTGAAGTAGTAAAACAAGCTTCCACAGTCCCATCTACCGCAGCAACCGCAACTTCAGCCGTAAGTAGGCAAAAACATACCGAATCCTCGTCCTCATCGTCAATCTGTACAACTCTTTTGGCGCCAAGCGTCAACGGTTGCGACTGCTGCGAAGTTGAAGGCTGCTCACCACCATGACTCATTTGGGCAGCCGGTAAGATGGTCCTTACAAACACACCGGGCATCACTGGAGTGGATTTCCTGCACGGTACACCCTGCACAAGCACCCCAGTCGATGTCCGCACAAACAAATTCATATTCGCCGGCCGTGTTAAAATAGGACGACGTTGAAACCGAGCCTACAATCGGACAAATCACTTCGAAAAAAGAGAAAAAATTGTAACAATTCTCAGTAGGCTAATTGCCAGACGATACAGTATTGGTCGAAGCAACTGAGAAAACTGCCGCTTGGCGAAGCTTCCACGACTAGCCAATTTATGCGTTCGGACAGCTTTCCACAATTATTTTTTTTTTTTTTTGCATAGTCTTTTGTTTGTGTGTTTGTCAAAATAAGCAGCGAAGAAGCAGCACAAGCTGAAGAGCTCAAACGCGGCACAGCACGGTAGATTCAGCAGGTTTATCCGAAAAAAGAATGCCAAGGAAATAAAAGCTGAAAAATGCAACAAGCTGGTCGGCAAGTAACGCTATTTCGGTCGTAGCTACCACGGCAATGAGTTGACAAGCGACTATGCGCTGTGACGAAATGGCGACCCATCCGGAGGCGCACGGCTTAGCACCGGAACATCCGGGGTTTATGCGCTATTGCCATGAAATAAAATTCAAAGGGAACTGTTGAAAATTAGTGCACAAATAAGAAAAAAAAAACCTGCGCGAAAGGAGAGGGAAGATATGCTACAGGTGAGCCTGGACGCTGCATAACACGAACAACACTAACAGCAAACGGACGTGTCGGCGATGACGCAACATGTGGGTGACAGAGAGAAGCGGACTGCTGCATAGCACTGCATTTTCTGGGGCCATCTCGCGGATGAGCCTGCAACTGAAACCAAATTCCTCGCATATTCACATCAATGCACATCCTCTTCCATGAGCACTAGTTCCGACAGTCTCAATGGCCACCGGCACCATTAGCAGTGATCGATTCAAAATTGACAAGTGTGAGGAGGATGGTCGTCGCTCAACATACTTCATTCTTCACTCTTTTCTCAGTGTGATTACTGCTGTCACGAAAGTATGCACGCACGCAAAACGAGGTCATTTCCGGTCGGAGGACTGACGCTACGAAACAAATCTCTTCTCGACTACATAAGCAAACAGACACACCGACATTATCAGTGGCACATTTTCTCACTGAAACCGCGGCGGAATGCAAGAAACACTGCTTTTGTTGACCAACAGACGAAAATCATTAGCAACTGATGGCTGCAGAAAGAAAGTGACCACTCTGACCGCTTCCGACGCACATCTCTAACGATAC